GACTGACTGTGTGTTTGACCAGGGAGGGAGCAAAAACCTGAGACCAAAGAGCAAGCAAGGCCTTCACTGTGTGGAGCAGGAATTGCCAAAGCAGATGGAAACAGACACAAAAGGTGATTCAAAAACTGTCATTTTCCCCCTTCATTGTACTGACGGAGCCAGGCCTGGGAAGAGAAGTGTAGGATAGAAACATGAAAGAGGGAAGCACCACCACAAGTCAGCTGAACACCAAGGGGAGTTGTGGCTGACAGGAGGAGACATGAATGGGAAAAAAAACAGTAAATACACATAATTCCTCATTAGATCAGTAGTCATGCTGCAGTTCTGCACTCTTAGGGTACTACAGGCACTGCTTATAGAGCAACAGGACAACTCCGACGTTTTCTCAAGCACCGGATACTTTCCAGGTAAAAAAACCCCTCCTCCTTCTGAACAGCACAGAAATATAAACCAAGGGTACACTGCTCACTTGTTCTTCCTATGCCAATTTACATAAATATATCTAATGATTTAAATTTTTCCAGAGATAATTCATCATCATGCCTAACTGACTATACTATGACTAAAATGACACAATGCTCATGCTATTTATAGAAAAACTTGTGGAGGGTAGTACCATTAACTCAGCCACTACTAAATCAGACACTAAAATCAACTCTGCAAGCAAAGGCTGAACCACTGAGAAGTACCAGACCTCTGATGTGAAAGATGTTCCTCTGAAATACAAACACACACAATGGCTTCCACAGCCTTTTTAGTAAGTGCTGCTAATCAATGTTACCAGTTCTTACCTTGAAAGACTTCAGTCAGAGTAAAGCCAAAATCTCAAACTTGGGCTTTTTCATTTTTTAAAAAAACTACATATTTGGTATTTTTTAAGAAGAAAAGAGTGCAGTTAAAATACCTAAATTTAAAGATAGAAAACTTCACATCTGAGAAGCACTTTTTAATAAAATATCTGGAGTGAAAATCCAGCAAGTCTGCCAGTCAACCGTCATCCATAATGAAGCCTATGGGATATGGTCCACTCCCACACTGACAGAAATTGTTTGGTTTAGCTTCTTGAAAGTTTTAAAACAAAATTCCTTCTTCAATCACTTTCAAGGGAGTGCATACACACTAGTTTCACAGTGGGAATCCAATCCACCCACCAAGGGCTATGGGAAAGCAGTTAAGCATCCCAAGGCACCAGGCCAGGACGGGAAAAAAACACATTACTAAGTCCATCTTCTCCATGACAATGGTGAAGTGGCCAAGAAGCAATAAAAATGGGTAAAGAATTTACATCTTCCAGTGTCCAAAATGCAAGAATCAGTCCACAGATCAAAGCATATTCCCTGTGCCTTCTGGCAGATCAACAAGTAAGGATAAAGAGCATAGTCAGGGTATTTTGCAAAATTAGGAGATTTGTAATTTGACTTTGACAGGAAAACAGACACCTGAATGTGGATATTCCCATTTTCCAGAGCAAACTGACCTGCTGAGTGGATCAGAACTTCCTTAGAAATATGTATATTCAAGGTGTCTATTTTGTTTTTGAAAGCAATTTCCAGATTTGTCCACTGAAATGACAGAAAAGCACACAACCTAAAAAAAAATAAGTGTGTTGTTTGTGTTTTAATTAAAATGCGCTTTTAGTATATTAGTAATAATATACTAAAATTATAGTAATAATATCAGTAGTTATTGAATAATAATAAAGCAAAGGCTAAGCAAAATGAAAGTGAGGGAAGAAATTTTTTGCCTCTTGGAAAGTACCAACAATTTTGAAGTTACTCCCCAGGAGATAAAAGTTTGACATTTGACAGCCAGGCCCCTACAAACCACACCTCGCTTGGAGATGAGTAATAGCATTTTTAGATACTTCAATTTTGTTTAAAAGTGATATACCTACAAGGAAAATAACTGGAAATATAAAAACACCGGAAGTTTTGTTAGTTAATTTTCTATGTGACATCCCTGACCTCTCCACGAGCAACATTTGGCCCTGGGGTGGTGACAGTGACAGCAAGACCCAGCTCTTGTTGGGATCCTGGCACCAAAATCAATATGGCAACATGCTCCAATCTTCCATCTACAGCTGAGCATTTCTCTCCACTGAGAGCTGGCACAGCCTCCCACCACTGACACTTTTTACTGGCCTAAGTTACTCCAATACTGGATCAATTTCTTCTGCCAGCAAATTCTTATTAAAATATTTGATAGACTGTGCCATTAACAGTTTATCACTGAACAATATCAATGGATATGCTAATTATCAGTCTGACTGCACTAATGGTTTAAGTTTAGAGCAATAAGAAGAGTTTAATAATTGGCCTATCATTCTAATTAACTTTAGTATTGAAGAAAGAATGTTTTATGTTACTGCAGTTCCTTCATTGAAGTGTTTTCCAGAAATGAGGAGAATTAAATCCTGAGCATTCTGATAGGAAAAGCTATGCCAACACATTTTGTTTGGCAACCTTACATTCAGAGATGGCAAGCACCCAGATCCAAACTAAACCCAGGGAGCCTGAGAGGTTTGAATTTTGAATATCATATTCAAAGTAAAAATATTTTGAAAAATAAGACATTACAGCTGTAGTAAAGCAATCTAGACAACACACATAAATTAAAATATCTCCAAAAAAAGCCTCTTGACCAGGATCAGCAGGCAGCACACACCTACCTGCAGCACAGGTCAAGAGAATGAGCTCCCAGCACAGAGCACAGAGTTCCAGCAGCAGCCAAGGGCTGCCCTCAGCCTCCCTGTAATTCTTATCATACAGCAACTCTGTCACCCCACACATTGGATTAGAGGGTTATTAATGTCTCCACTAATCCAAAGTACAAACCAGGGTAGGATACAGAACCCATTCTTTTCCTATTTCTCTGCATTATTCCTTCCCCTGTTCTTGGGCCCATTTTCATTTCAGTGCAGGCTTTAGAATAGAAGATAATTTCTACATGAATTCCTCTCATGTTGTTCCATATGTTATTTCTACCACAGCAAAAAAAAGTAGTAGTTTTATACTTGCTTTCCACAAAACAAATCATAGCTGATGTGTCTTGCATGAGTAAAGAATGCATAAGTTATTTATAATCAATACAAGTAATTATAAAAAGCCATTATTTTTCCTTAGGGGAACATACTAATCCAGTTCTATTTTGTCACATGTAATCTTAAATCAAAGGTTATGCTACTCCTTTAAGCAATAAATTCAGTGCAGACAACTAAAGATATGAAATAATTTATTTCTTGCATTTTTTCCATGTTAAAATAGAACAGTTTCAAGGCACACTTTTGGTAAGCTACTTACAAGCAAAATCAACACAGATGAGAACAACAGTATAGTAATCAAAGTGGATAAAAAATCCAAACTGGTCCTATGGCTGCCAAAGGAGGATGGGTAGAGGAGCCATTTTAGGAGCTCCAATTCTTTAGCGTAGGACATGGCAACAAATTTCAGAACCCATCCAACTTTCCAACCAGTCTTCTTCTCTACAGCATCCTCATCTTCCCACAACTAGGGAGCAGGAAAAAGACAGCAATCCATACCTCCTGTAAGACAGGCTTCACCAACCTATCAAACCACTCAATTTATTTGCACCTTTTTGACTTCCTTTTAAATAGCAACAACACAAACACATCCAACATGGATCTTCTAATACACTACAGACCTACAGCTACCTTTCCTGGTCAAGAGGCAGCAAACCTTTGTACACTGCACAGCTCCCCTCCACACTTGCAGTGAGACAGTCTGCAGGAGCCAAGAAGAAAATCTGTTGGAAGTTGTTCTGCAGCCCTCAGAAGAACAATAAACAATGGTTATTCACCGCAAAGTACAGGAGAACAACCCTTACCTACACTGACCTTATAAGCATGACAGCAGGGAAACTCACCTTCCCCTCAGTGCTCCCAAAGGACAAGCCAGCAATGACTGACCTTAATGTAGGGAAAGCCCCACAATCTAAGCACCTTTATGACTATAACTCCCAAAAGGCAGGCTGAAATCCCTGAGGATAAGCACTTTCTCATGCAACTCAACAAAAAGGAGAAAAAAAGAGGCCCACGCAATTCCCCAGACATGCATAATTAAGAATACATCATTGGCCTTTTCTAACAGAGTGCTTCCCCAAGGAAACCCAAATGCTCTCTAAAAGAGGAGAGCCTGGCCTAGTCCAATGGCTGGGTAAGCACCAATCCTGCAGGATTCTGCACATCTCTCCAGTTCTCCCATAACTACATTATGACAAGCCTCAATTTAAATTCCCGGCTTTCTCACCCCTTCCCATACATCCCATACAGCAAACACTGTTCTTTCAACCTCGCCTTCCAAGCTAAGCATTACCTACAACTTTTTTATATGCACACAGTTCTGTAACCTCTTCCAAGGTAAAAAAAAACGTTCACACTTCCTCTCAAACCAGAAAGAAATAACCTTTCCACAGCAGGAACCTTCAGGGAAAGCTTAGCTTCCTTCTGCACAGGTACATACCACCTTGAGAGAAGACCTGTTATTTTCTTTGTCTTTTCGAGCAAAAGCACGCACTGTTCACACTGCCCATCCCGACCTGCACCTTCCGAGGTGCCTTTTCGAACACAGCCAAACATCCCCCGCCGTGGCCAAATCAATGACGGCGTCACACCCGGAGGATCAATATCTACCTGGACACACCGCCACCCTTCCCCTCCTCCCTTGCCAGGACGGGGAAGCTTCATCCTATCGAGGCTGGGCTCCCCTTCCCCAGCAGCAGCGCGTCCTCCCAGCGCTATCCCCGCTCCGTGCGCGCCGGGAGCCGCCCTTGCTCCACATTCACAGCCTAAAAATCCACTTGCGCTGCCTCCCGCCCCCTCCCAAGGCCTTCCCAGCCGAGCTCCCCGGGCCGCTCCCCGCTCCGAGCGGGCCCCCGGACCCTGCCCGGCCGAGCGCGCCCAGGCCGCCGCCCTCGCCCCGCGGCCGGCGCGGCTCCCAGGCGAGCCCGGGGCTGCGCAGGCCGCGCCGCCGCCCCCGCCGTACCTTCGGTCTGGGCGCTGGGGCCCGGCTGGGCCATGGCTCGGCGGGCGGCACCGCCGCGGCCTCCTCCGGGCGGGGACCGCTACGCCACGGGCAGAGGGACGGGAGCGGCCGGGCCGGGCCGCCGCCTCCTCCGCCTCATCCTGACAGCGGCGGCGGCGGGAGGGGAGGACGGGCAGGAGGAGGAGAAGCAGCGGGAGGAGGAGCCCCGCGCAAGCGCCCGCGGTGAGACACGGGAGCGGCTGCGGCCGAGGGCGGGAGGCGCCGGGAGCGGCACCGGAGCCAGGGATGGGGTAGGGACAGGGAGCAGGAGCCAGGGATGGGGTAGGGACGGGGAGCAGGAGCCAGGGATGAGGGCTGGACAAACACCGGGAACTAGAGACAGGACACAGCGACAAGGAACAGGCACCGGAATGGGGAACAGGGGCCAAATACTGGGAGTAGGGGCAGAGACAGGTGCTGGGGACCGGGGACAGCGTGAGGGTGGCGGTGGCTTCCCCCGGGTCCCTGCCCGGCCTGGCCCCTCAGCCCCGGCAAGGGAAAAATCACCTACAGCCCGGAGGCATAATTAATGTTTATTATTGAGGAAACAACACCAACAAATCCCGCCCTTTAATCACAGAATCATTGAGGTTGGAAAGCACCTCCGAGGCCATCGAGTCCAGCCTGGGACTGATGCCCACCTTGTCACCCCGACCGTGGCACTCGGTGCTGCATCACTGGTGGGATGACTCGCCCTGAAGGGGATGGAAGCGCCCAAGATTTATAAAACCTCGTGGCCAAATGACCCTCAAAAGTCATGATTTGTCTGCAAACAATCAGGAAGCTTTATTAGTAAATTACACACTTGGCATGGAAATCGGTGTATGGCCTATTTTTAGTTGTCACACCAATAATGCAGCTGTGACCCGGCTGGGCAGAGGAAGGAGCATGTCCTGCCAAGGGGTCCCTTCCCCAGCCCCTGTGGTTGGGCTGTGTTGATGGAGGTTTAGTCCTTTGGTGGGCTTTAGTCCTTCCACCTCCCTGGGAGAACATACAACTCCAGGCTGTAGCAATAAAATAGTAGATCTACATCATTTGAGCACATGTGAAATCACAGAATGCAGAGTTGGAGTCGAAATTACAACACCAGGTCCTTTCAAGGGCAGGATCTCTTACAACTCACTTTTCTTATGGCTTGCATACCCTAAAATGAGTCACTTTTAAACTGAATCTCACTTGTTACCACTGTTTTTCATGTCTTGCTGCAAAAATACATGGTATGGCAAGGCATGAGATTCTGCATTTTGCATTAAATTTTTGCTCATTTAAACCAAATGCAAACCTGAAATTGGTAGTCTTTGGAAATTATTCCATTTTGCCCTTTTTGATCAGTTGAGGTAAATTTTTTCACTCTTTGCTATTGTATAAAGCAGGCTTAAAATAAAGACTTAACTTTTCAGTGTTCCCAAATTGAGAGATCTAGGGCTTTCTTAATTGAAATTTGGAGAACCCAGAAGTGTCAGCTGCTCATGGAATTGCTGGCTTAGTAGCAAGTGATCAAAGGATGAAGTATCTATCACTTGAGGTACATTTACAAATGTCTTAGCTCCTTCTTAGGCTTTTTTATAAGTAGCTGGATGTTACAAGCATTCAGTGCATGAATCTCCCTGAAAATCTAGTCCTGAGTGTAGGAACTGGGCTCTTGAAACTCCACCCTGGTGTGTGGGTACCTCAGAGCACCCATATTAGCAGCTAATTTAATCTTGTTCATGTTGAGGCAAAACTCTGACACATTCTGGTCGGTCAAGGATCAAACAGTGCAGCAGCACTCGTGCTGCAAAAAACAAGTAAGATAATAACAAGCTTGATATCTGCTGTACCCACAAGTGCTTATTAAGGGATTAATATAATTTCACTTTCATAATTTCCATAGACAGGATGATGGGATATTGACTATTGGAATTGCAACATTTCCAAGCCTCTATCTGAACTCCTGAGTTTACATTCTGAATGGGTTTTATATGTAGTTTGAAAAATATAAGAGCTCTCAAGGGGTTTGTACTTTTATTTTCCTTTATTGGTCTTCAATTTAGAGCTGTACTAGCTTTATAGGTGTGGTTCTTACTTAATCTTTCTTTTCTGAACAGTAATTGGACTTGACAGAGGTGAAGGTTTATGTAGTATCTAATAGAATGTCTTCTAACCTGAAACAATTGAGTAACTTCCTCTGTGCCTCCAAAAGTGTCCCATTTAATTCTACTCACTTGTAGTTCTTATAGGCATGATCTCAAAGGATTTCCCAGCATGATTCAGCTAAATCTTAAAAGAAGTAAAGGAGGTTTAGTAGCAGTTTTCTGTCAGAGAAAAGGTCTTGCAGCAGAGAACCAGCAGAGACCAGGAGTCCTGAATTACAGTGTTGGTGGTGTGAATGTTAGACAAGTGCAGTGCTGAGGATCAGTGACGCAGGTGTGCAGAGACTATTTCTGGAATAAGCTTCTCCAGAAATAATGCTCCTAAAAATCCCATAATTTTTAATCAAATTTATTTGGCCTAAAAGCCTAACATGGCCATTTTGAACATCAGCACCACAAGCAGCAGACACGTGTGAATGGAAGATGCATCTTCCTGGAGAGTGTGTGCTGTGTCAGTAGAGGTGGAGGAGTAGCTGTCACCTTGCACTCTGCCTGAAATGTAATCCTGCAGGCTCATTGAAATAAGTAAGTTTGCAGGTTTTGTTTGAACAGTAACAGCCAGGGGCAAGCAGTGAGTGTGAGCACACAGTGGTTGCTGGAGACCAGGAGGAAACTGAGGGGGGCTGGGGTTGTTTGGTTGCAAAGAGAATAGTGAAGTAATTCACATAACATATCTAGGAAAAAATAAGTATTTTCATTTTCCTTGAGGAAAGTAAATAAGTGGAGAAAGAGCTTATTAAATCTGTTTTTCCTTATAGGTCTTATGGTTGATTGACTTCTGTGCTTATGGGTACTCAAATTCCAAATGAAACTTTCCCTGCTTTTTTTTTTTTTTTTTTTTGATCATGTAGAAAGATTTTTCTTTTTCTCTGTCTTTACCTTTGCCTTTATTTTTTTTTTTTTCCCTGTACTTGGGGCACTTTAACCTCAACTGAGGCATCTATTTTCACGAGGCTTTGAAGAATGTAATTATCACTGTCCTTATCTGTGACACTAGTCCCAGATCCCGAGGCTGGTTGAGTTACCCTAGCTGTATCCCAGCTCCGTGTCAGGACAAGACCCAGTTACATACATTGTACTTGCCACAAAGTGCACAGCTCTGGGGGACTCCCTGCAACTCCAGCAGGTCCCTCCTTGTGGATGATTAAAGAGACAGGGCTGTGATCACACTGGGGAAGAGTATGATCCCAAAAGCTTTGTATTCACAGGGAGTTTGGTAATAAATACACAGCTAATTCCTTTTGAGTGATACAAGATACTATTGTTTAATACGACAGCTAAGCCAATTCTACAAAACCCAGAATCTTTAGAAAGATAAACTGAATTTCTGGACTTGCAAGGCCAAGTCTGCATCTGGTGTGAATCCAGTGGAAACAGGCTGGTGTGTGGGAACTGAGAAGCCGGCCTGTAGCACAGAATCAGAATGGAGATCCAAAAGGCCCTCTAAAGTGCTGCTCCCTCCCCGTGTCTGCTGCTTGACTGCCACAAAGAAGTTGGATTCCATTGTGCCCTGTGTGGTGGGGGGGTTTGCAGTGAATCACAGGCCCTGCTCCCAGTGTGGTTCATCTCCTAAACCACCCACTGCTTGATTCAATTGATCCAAGAAAGCTCAGGAACGAGGTGGATTTGGGAAGTGGCTTTGTGTGTTGTTAAAGCTAAACTCCAGTGCACCCACAGGGGATGAGAATTGCAGAACTAGGGCCCTCTGCCTCAGCAAGAAGGAGATTTCATCTCCCCCCCTACCCTACCTGGAGGTGTTACACAGTGGAGAGTTGGGTAACAGTCTCCATTGGCCAAACCATGCAATGACATCACCTTTGGAGGAATGCAACAAGAATGTTTCAGATGAGAAGAGTAAACATGCTACCAGAAAAAAACCTGTGGTTTAAATTCCAGGTGAAGCCCAGGGAAGCAGAAGTCACACACATCTTTAAGGGGAGACTCAGTGGTGCAGGACAACGAGCCGTGGCTTCATTCCAAAGGCAAGTAACAGCCTTGTCCTGCTCACAAAAGAGAAGAGGAAAACCAAAATTTATTGCTTGTACTTTATATATTTCTAGATTTCACCAGATTTTGTCCACTGTTTTTCTCACAATTTTTTTTATTGTTTAAAATAAAGTGTTCAGTTTCCTGATTTTTAAATGTTTATTTTCCTTCTGCCGAGATCAATGGGTCATTAGCATTAAGTATTGGTTCTGCAGCTAGGAGTATTTCTGGGCTTTGGTCCTTTCTTTTTAAAGCAAAGCTTTTGGAGAAAATAGCATTCATCTAAGTATTACCATAAAGAGGCAGGTTAAAAATCCCAAATCAGTCATGCTCTTTGCTTCAAAAGTTCTTCTGGAATGCAAGGAATTTAGTCTGGAACAATTACATTATTTGCAATGGTAACTTCTTAATGAACCCTGGAATAGTTTATGTGGTTAAAAACCTTTTCAAGAGCAATTGAAAAATTATGTTATCCCATCTATTGTTAAAGAATTCCATGTGGTGCTGTTCTTTGAATATATGGGAAGAAAATGGAGCCAAAAAAGAAAATTTGGCAGGCAAAAAATCGAAGTGCTTGCATTGGCTCTAAATCCAGATATATATACACATTAATGATCTCATTTGAAAGATGTCTATATTAAGATCTGAAAGCTCTTGGTGTTCCCAAGGGACAAGCTCATTGAATGTTGTGATATACCATGAAACTAAACAAGGTTTCTTACTGCAAAATAACCAAGAAATCAGAAATTCAGTCTGTGTGTGTAACAAAGGACACATTAAGCACACAGTCTTTTGGATACCCTTGTTCAGCAGTACATCAGAATTGCCATTGCAGGGAGGCACAGCTCTGCTTTGTGCTTACACACTTCTTCCTGGGACGATCTAAAAATATGCCATACCCTACTCAGACTCACTAAAGCTGCATTACAAAGTTACCTGCACACATGCAACCACTGCAATACCAGAATCTCTACTTGAATCTCTGCTGACTTGGACAAAGGTTCCCTCCTGGCAGCTCTGGTATTGCAGCAGGATGTCACAACAGAGTGGAGAGGCACCAGCAAGGCCCATGTCAGTCACTGTGGAGTTGTTTTGGGTTTTTTTGTTAGGGTTAGGATTAAATGTGTGAGATGGTATTTTTGTTTGGATTTAGATGTTTATGACTTTTTATTTATATTATAGGTTTTTTTATAAACTATAGTTTCATAGTATTCACTGAATTTCATATTATTTTATTTTAATAAACTAAAACTTTAGTAATTTATTTTTTACAAGGTTTTTTAAGGATAAACTGTTTAATTAAGAAATGATGCTTAAATTATTTTTATTTTTAACTTAATAACTAATTACCTGAGCTTTGTAATGTGGACTTTTTTCTCTAATTATATAGTACTATTTAAACTTATGAAGAAGAAGGTGAAGAAGAAGGACTAGCTTCTATTTTAAAATTTCTATCTTGTTTTATATATATTACTTATATTATTTATATTTTTTTTTTTTTAAAACCTTAAACTTTTAAGTTTTCTACCCTGTGATATTCCACACTTCTATTTAAACTACACCCCTACAATCCCAGTTCTGCAATTCAATTTTGGAAGCTTCTCCACGGCCTCAGGTGAAATGCAGTGTTCTCCTGGGAGTCAGTGTCTGTCAGCACAGAAAGTCTGAAATTCTCAGTAGCAGAAAGTCTGAAATTCTCAGTAACCAAGGTTCCAACAAGTCACCACACATTTCTCACAGCTCACCAAGCACACCCAATGTGGTCCTGCATGTGGGGACAGCAAGGGCAGTGGGACCCCAGAGAGAACTCTCCTCTTTCACTCTGTGCATGAGATTACACTTTCCTTTTAAAAACCTAAAACAACAACTGTGTTTCTGCTTCCTGAGGCTGTTTTACACTCAAGTATTGCCTGTAGCAGCAGTTCTCTAAGCAGTAGCATCTCCTGCACTCAACTTCTGAATCTTGAGGCGGCCACTTTGTTAACCTCGATGGGATGAGTCAGGTCACATCTGCAGCACTGGGCCATTTATCCTGTTTTCTTCCTCTGAGGCACAAGCAGCTCACTTATCCCATAAATTCTAATGGTTTGCAATGCCCACTTGCCAAGAGAAGGAGGGAGTGTTGCAAGTACTGTAAAATTCATTGTCCCGTGTGTGTCGTATTAAATGGTGTAGCCAAAAGATTTCCATGTTAAGGCTTCAAAAGCAGTGCTCAGTTTGGAGTGTTTTATTCATCCAAGTGCTGTTAACCCTCAGTTTGTCCCTTTCAGACCTGTCTTTGGAGACATTTAGAAGGAGGATACCCAAGAAGACAGAGCAGTCTTTGTGTGAACAGTGGGCTAGGCAGCTGAAGAGTTGCCTAGGGGCTTTCAGGGGATCACCAAATCTGTGCAAGTCCTTCAGATGAACTACCCTACCCTCTGAAATGCTTAATCCAGGTAGGATTGCTGGAAAGTGTAATTCAAGGCCTTCCTCCAGGTGGGATTCTTCAGTGATTCCTGAGTTTTTTCTGGGGCTGTGCTGATATCTGTATAGACAGAGGTGGTCCAATCCAAATACTTATCAATACAGGTTTAAATTCCACATCTAAGGTCAGTGGGTACATCCAGCTTGTCCAGATGTTTCTCATCAATGCCACCCCATACTTATGAGTCCTTTTATTTGCTTTTCCCCTGATTTCTCCTAAATGCTACAGTGATCTCTCTATTTGATTCTTTATTTTGCTAGAGTGCCTTTTTCAGACCTATGTTCCTTAGATGCAGACACACAAAATATTTTGTGCTTCTATGGCACCTTCCATTGAAGAAAGAGTCTTTTAGAAGAGCTGGAAGAGAAGGAATTATCTCCAATATACAAGGCTGAACAACTTCAAAGAGACAGCCTCATTTGCCTGGGGATGAACAAAAATCAGCAAAAGAAAGGAAAAAAAAAATGGAACATTTAACTCCTATCTCCTTACTGGTTTGTTTTTGGTTTGTTTTTTTTTTTTTTTTTTTTTTTTTTTGCCATAAAGTATATTTCCTTTTCTTATTCATGACACCCTTAAAAATGCCAAAAATCTTCTGACCTTCTTATGAAAAATAACCAAAGACAAACATCTGGTGCAAAATCAATATTTCTTAGTAGGCAAAAAGATCAAACAAACTCGTTTTCTATAGAATCTGTCTGATTCTCTCAAAAAGGTTATGAGATATCTTCCCTGCCTCCCGCAGGCAGCATTAAGAAGCTTATTTCTCCTCTGAGACCACAGGAGGTTTCACATTGTGTTGTTAACCTCCCTCAGATCATCCCCTCCATGCACAATCCCAGTCACATTTACATGCAGACATAATGTCACTCAGCCCACTTGATGCCACTTACATCTCCTCGTTGCTATGGGGAACACTGATAAGGAACCAATTAGCAAATAAAATATTTGAGGCCGAATGTGAAAACCATTGCTCAGTGGATTTGTGTGTGATAGGCAGTGACATTTCATTTGGCATTTGTCCTTACCTAGCTGAGCTTCTTCCACTGCAACCTCAGCTACATTCTGTGTAGTCAAAACATGTTCTTTTTGGGATTTACAGGCTTAGATGTGCAACTGTATGTGACCCTGGGGAAATTTTACAGCTCTCTGAGAAGTGGGAGAGTTGGAAAGCGCTTTTGCAGCATGGAAGTGCCAAGAGCACCATCCAGTGCTTGAGCTGAGTAAACACACAAGAACTCGGTGGCATTGAGACAGAGGCAGCTCTGCACATCCCTGGTCCAGCTGCACCTGCAGGGGTGCACGAGGAGTTCATAGAAAGAGACCACAGCCAGTTAGAGAAGGAACTTATAAGGGAAGGCTGGCAGAGCTGTCAGCCTCTCAGGAGGGCTGGAGACAATCGAGAAGGTCACATCTTTTAAAGAACAGCTGTATTCTGAGTTGGAGTTGCTGACTGAGGAAGCAAAGACACAAGGAAGGAGGAAGAGGAGGTGGCAATAGACGGGGCCAGTTAAGAAAAGTAGGTGAATTAAATCCATGATGGAGAGTAGGTACTGCAGAGAGAGAAAACTGGGCCAGATACTGATCCTGTTATCCTTTCCCTTTGCAGAGTTGAATCAGCAGAAAGAGACTAGGAGGTTGCACTGGCAGCTGAGAAAATAAAGAAGAAGTTACCTCAACTGCCACTGCACAGTCTCAACAGCATGGTACTGTTTGACAAATGTAGGTAGTCCTGGATTTCAAAAATTAAAATAATTTGGAGCAAGGTTTTGCACAGATGTGTACATGAAGTAGTAATTTTTAGTACATACGGCTACAGGCTGTTAATGGGCTAGAGAAAAGGAACTAATAGGAGAACAAGGAGTCCATGGGGCTAAAAATGGGCACAGACAAAAAATAATGTTATCTGTAAAGAAGTGACACCCAAATAGATGTCCAAGAAAAAGGATGCAACTTTTCTGCAGACTAGGAGCTATGCAATAATCTGTGGAAACTCTAGGTAAGCAAGGAAATATGAATTTGGTATATTGAGAACCAGATATTTATTAATCAGAGATGAAGAGTGTTCCACTTTAGCACAATATTTGTGGTAACATATCACTAATATACCCTCCCCAAAACAAAACTTAGGGCATAATTTGGAAATGCTGTAATCCAAGACAGCTCCTCTGTTGTGTTCAGTGTTCCCAGGAACAGCTTAGCATATGTTTGCTCTTACTCTTTTTATATTGAACTTGCAAAGAGCAAAGAGAGTAAAACTCACTTCTTTGATTAGTATTAAGCAGTGTTTTGTTTGTGCCCTGTGGCAGAAATGCCCAGATGGAGTGGGCTGGATACTGAAAACACGAGAGGCATTTAGTGTTCTGTGGAGCTCTGTTAAAGTTGTCTGAATAGAACATCTGGTATCAAATATTTGGATAAATCAGTTTCTGCAAGTATTTGGGCCTGCTCTGGGTCTGTGCTTTGTTCCAGCTTTGCATTCCCTCTCTTCCTTCCTTGTTGCTAGAGCCAATAGATGATGGTTTATTGCCTGGTGCAGCCTATTAAAGTCCCTTTGTTGGCAATTAGCTGAGCAGAAAGAGTGTAAAAATCACTTTGACATCTGTGGGGTTGAAATGGCAACACCAACTTAAGATCTCCCCGAAAGGCTTTTTATCTGTCCACAAGGTGATGCAGAAAGAAGAAAGAAAGGTTATCCAGAGGTTTTGGGAAGATATTGTCTGATGTGTCTGCAGAGTGGGACCTTGTTTGAGAGCTTTTGTCTGTGTAAAAAGCGCCTGCCCACCACAAGGCCCTAATGGGGATAGATTCATGCAACACCTGCCTGCCAGCGAAGGTGAGTGCTTCCCCACAGCTCAGCACTTCCAGATGCCACTGCCAGCCCAGCCTTATGTGCCAGGAAAATTCCTGCAGAGCTGAGGAATGTGAAAACAGGAGCTGTTGTGTGTCACAGGACTGATGCCACTTGACAGATGGAGGTGCCCGTGCTGCAGTCCCACAACATTCCACAGCCCTGTTCTTCCCAAAAATCATCCCACTGCTGGGCACAGTGAGGAGGGGCAGGCTGTCACATCACCAGCTGTGACTGCAGAGGTGAGTCAAGGGCTGGTGCATATGACCCACTGAATTTAGAAAAGTTTGAGATTAATCCTTTCACTTTAGAAAGTGTTTCAGCTAAGGAAGGCTGAGTACACAGAGCTACTGTCACCCTGGCTGAGAATTTGGACATTTGGCTTCACTCTTGGACAGATTTTCCTATGAATGGTGTTTTCCCCTGTAAATTTTACCAAATTTACCTGCTCAGAGGCTCTGACTCCTGGATCTGTGACCAAAGCTTTGAAAGAGCACCAAATGGGAATTCCTAAATTACACTGAGTATTGCAAAGAAACTGTTTCCTGTATAGTAACCAAGAAAAATGTCTTATAATGTAACATTCTTTTCTAGCAAGAAAATAAGGTGTTTTGAGTTACATTGCTTTAAGATGTCTTGCTATGTTTAAAGGGCTGGATTTCTTCTCTTTTGTCTTGTTTTCAGGCTTGATACACCAAGAAAACTTTAGAGGAATTATTATTGTCTCGAACCAATGGTAAGGAGAAAGAGAAGCAAGTTATTCATGTTTAATGTTGTTTTGTGCCAGATGTTTGCTGGTAGAAATCCATAGCTCCACAGGCATCAACTTCTTCAGGATCTGGAATGTTTGACACAATTTTTTTTTCTCCTTTCTGGATGGTCTGTAAAGGAAGCTGCTTGATTTTGCAATATTGAATATTCACGCTGAGAAGTTATAAGCAAAAACAAAATAATGAGAGACAGGGTCTCTAATAAGCTTCCTGTCACATGAGGCTGTGGTTCTGGTGCAGCAGATGTGGTTGCTGACTTGTTTCCAAAATGTTTGTTGAGTGGTGATTAGATTCTGTCATAGTGATGTTATATCTCTGTGATCTCATTCAATACAAGTAGTTCTGCAAACAGTGAAATATTTTTTTCCTATGGATTTATATCTTGGATTGTGTTTAGGCATGGATTCTCTGATGTCTAATGAGGATTTAATTCATTTTAGGCTGTTTCTTCAATGAGAAATGAATAATCTGTCTTAACTTAGCTGTCTATTTTCACAGAACTTGCAGGAATTAAATATCGTAAGTTCTAAAAATCTGAGTGGGAATTATGAACCAGTTCCAACACAATTTGGAGCCAATTAATATAAACAAAAATAAATATGAGTCTCATTTTCTTACAAAAGCAAAAGGTAAGACTCAATCTTTATTACTTTGTATTTCCACATTACCTGCTTGATTCTCTTTTGGTTTATTTGTGATCAACCATAGAAGGTATGCTTTATTTATAAAGCTATATGAAATATGGGACTTTTTTCCACACTGAATGCATATTAAGTCATCATTAATTTATGGTTGTTACAGGCCACACAAGAAGTCACATTCTCTTTTTATTGTCCTTGCTGGAGCATAGGAAAGAGGTAACATGCATATTAACTTACATGTTTGCACAGGCAAATACAGAGAAAACGAATTCTAAAGGAAAGATTATCTATTGTATCACCAGTTCTGGTGAAGGAAATGTAGAATAAAAATTATATTTTGGATTGCAGAGTGCAGTCTTCTGCTCTTGTAGTGAGCCAAGTTTCCAATCTTTTTCATAAACAGCTTGGTGCTATTCAAAAATATACTCTTTCCTCTTTGTTGTCTCTCCTGTTCTCCCAGTTTCCCACTTTATTTGGTGTTTGTTCCAGAATTTCCTTCTTTTGATGGGAAGGAAACCTTTTCATTTCCATGGTCAGTTGAGGCATGTTTCTCTTTTTCTGTGAAATTCCTAAAAAATTAATTACTGCAGGTAGCCATGTCTGTATAAAGAATAAGGAAGGAAAACTCTTATGAGAGGACAGAAAATCTTCACTTGGGTAAATCCTTAAGACTTAAGTCTGTTGGAAACTAGGCTTTAATAGCACTTAGCATAAAGTGTTTGTGTATTCATACTACCAGGTTTTTCTGGGACTGGCAAATGAATTATTTAGTAATGGAAACTGCATGTGCATGTGTTTGGCTTCTGTAGGTTCACATGATAGAAAACTGTAAGAGTGTCTGTAGGGATCACAACTGCACAACTTTGTGTCTTATACCCTGTCTTAACAGGGCTCAGAAATTCCCATTTAGCTGGGTAGAAGAGAGAGAATAGAGTGGCAAGTCTCAGCTTTTATTGCTAATGCTTTAATGTAAAATAACATTTATGGCCTGTAGATTTGGTTCTGTGCAGGTCTGTGTGACTTAAAATTTATTACACCATTTCATATTTGTGCATCTCTCTCCAGTTCCTGGATATGAAAGAAATTAAAGGTCCAAAAGGTTACCTTTATGTTAATAGGTCCACATATACCCAATATTTTACTTCCCTGGACAAAGGAATTGCACCAAGGGCTGGCTTGTCCTGTTAGCATGTGACAGTGTCAGCCCTGTGTGCTGCAAAGCTTCATGGAGCCTTAGAGAATAAAAAAGAAAAAAGCCAAGTGTATGCTCAATAGAAAACAGATGGAGTTTTCATTAGATATTACTTTTAATGATCTGCTTTAAAAGTAAAGATACACCATTCTGAACAGAAGGGCCTCATAATAGCTGTGTTTGAGTCCCAGGCTCATTAACTTAGCTACAGATAAGCAAGACTGCAAGATCTTTGTATCATTAGAGGTTCCAGTCAAGCTTGCCTACCATTATTAGAATTCCAAACACAGCAGAACTATTTTGGAGCCTTAACAATAATTTATCCTGAAGATGTATCTTTATTTAATGATTCAGAGTTGTTATTATGGGCCTGGCAGTCAGTTGCTCAGTTTCTGGAGTATTACCATTTAACCTAGGTCAGGATAAAAATCCTGGAATATTCATTGCAGGGCAGACCTGAGGGCCTGTTCTTCATAGTCCACTTGGGTGTGACTGTCCCAAATGGTGCCACTGGCTGTGAGAGGTGACCCCAGCAGTCTACAAAACCTGAAGATCCCTCCTAAAAAGAGGGACCCTGCAATCTGTGCCTGTGGGCACTAAATCAACTTTTGACATGTAAAGAACAATGCAATCCCAGGGTTTTAGGAGTAGATGCTTGCTGCCAAACCACAAGAAATGCTTTTGTCTGGAACTCATGGAGCAGTAACATAGCAGTGGAGGGTGTACCCTTGTCTGTTATTCCCTCTGAGCAATTTCTCAGAGACTTATTACCAGGATTCAGATAGATTTCATGGAACTAGGAGAGAAATAGGCTTTAATTTCCTTACAAAAGGAGGGAGAGACAATAGAACTCAGCAAAACGTGGCATTTTTTTGTTTCTGTCTGAGAGTTATGCAAGCAAAACCCAGTGCCCATCTTCAGGCAGTACTCTCTAAAGTGAGACTTGTGTGAGAAAATTTGTGTTATCTTTCTTCTGGTGTGAGTTGATAAAACTGCTTCATTTCCTCTGCATATGTGTAATACAACCTATGTCTTCAGCTGATCTCCAGCTGGGGAGCACAAATCAGAATCCAAGTTTCTCAAAGTTGAAGGAAGTTTGGAGCTGATGTTCTGGTTCAGTGCCACCTCTGCAGAAGAATACCTGTATGAATAATAAGAAAAAAGCAGCCTCTTGTTTTCACAAGAGACAGACTAGAAGGATCAAGTCCAGTGGCAATCTATCACAAACTCCTGCTGAAACACTGTTATAGAACCAGGTCTTTCCCACTCTGTTAGAAACCTTCTTTAATTTCCAGTCTAGAATTATTGGTTGACTAGTTTGTTCACATTTAGTATTGTGCCAAAGCTGCCTTTTAGTTTGGATTATTACACACAAACAGAATGCATTAGATTTCCTTTGCTTTTTGTGTCTTTCAGGGAAAAAAAAAACAAAACACCAAACAACAACAACAACAACAACAACAAAAAAACCAACAAAAAAAAAACCAACAAAAAAAAAGCCACAAAACTTGTGTTCCAGGTCAAATTATTTCTACATGCAATTTAAGGGCAGGAGGAGAATAAACAAAAAGAGGAGAGGGTAAGTGAGAGCTTTATAGTTAGATTTGTGTACCTTAGTTACAATGGCCCAACCCTTTTTCAACAACATTTCTGCTCTTCTGATGGCTGCTGTTACCTTATGTCCAAGTAATTGCAGTGGATTTCTTTCTGTGTGATTTATTTGCAGACATCAAGGATTTCCCCTTGCTATATTGCTATAGTGGAAAAAACAACACTTCTTACACAATTGTTTCTTTCTTCTTTAGCCATTCAGTGGTCTTTTCTTGATTAAAGTATCTTTTTGAGCATGGGTGGCCAAACCTGAACAAACCAGTTCCATCATAGTGGTGATTCCAGCACAAGGTGAGAGGCTCCCACTTTAGTCTGGGAAGAATTTTCACAGGATGAATTCTCAGCAAATTCTGAGCAGGTGCCTTTCTAAAGTGTCTAGTTATGCAAAGCTCAGTCACCCAAGGGGAAACTTGTCCTAAGTAAATAACCTGTATGGATCAATGCAGAAATGCACACTGAAGTGACAAAAGGCTTGCTTTGTACATGGGAATTAACCCCTGCACTGCTCAGGGTAGCAGCACCTGGTGTCTGGTACTCCTGGGTGCCACGGTGTCCACATGTGCACACAGAGCACTGACTGAAGCTGGGGGAATTACTGCTGCAGTGTTTCCAGAGTCTTGGGGAAGACAACTTCTCAACAAGGTAAATTGGTATTTTAGCAGATCTTTGCTGCACCAAGTATTCCACCAGTGGAGAGTTCTGGAGAAGTGATTAAGAGGAAATGCAAGTGACCTCCAGAGCAAGGTACTCCTGTTGAAAAGTTAAGATGTGATTTTAAGAGGTCCTGGTCCTTCTAGAAGTTGTTTCTTAAAGCATCTGCATGTCAGCACCCTAGATATTTTAAACTGAGCATGCAGAACCCCAGCATGGATGGGCACTCTTCATGAGGGGGCCTACATGACTCCCTTTAGTCACTTGGCAACACAATAGTAGAAATAGCAACATGGGATTTCTTATGTCTATTGTGTCCATTAGAACAATACTGCTGAGAGCAACTGAGACCAAAGGCCTGGCCTTCAAAATATATGACTTGAAAAGAAAGCTGCATTTTTTTGGTAAGGTCCTAATGTATTTCATTCAGCTTTGCTGCTACTCCCAAAGTTCAGTTGTAAACAAGTCACACATCTGGGTAGCACTGCCTGTAACTGTCTTCATCCTCACCAGGAATTACTTCACAATGTTCTGTGTGTGCAGAAAGCAGCTTGTAAGAGGTAACCTGAGCAAACTCATACAACTGAAGAGCTTAAATATCTTCAATGACCAGCCTGCAAAGTACCCACAGTCTTTAACTTTATGGATATAACCCTGAAGTCTTAAAATTCTGCATTTTAGCCCTCAGAGTTCCTCTGATTCTGACTGCTTCCTATCAGATTTCCATGCTGACTCTGTCCAGACAGGTCAGCTGTCCAGAGCAATGATGTACTAACTGCTTTCATGGGAGGTGAGTGTGAACTTGAATAGAACTCAGGTACAGCTATAAAGGGTTTTGTAGCTATACAGTAATAAAACTTTGAAAGCCATTTCTGTACATCATAAACAAAATTAAGTAAGCTGTCAGAATTATCATTAGTCAGTTTCAAAATAATGTTGCACCTGAATAATATTGAAGTGAAATGAGGTTGTTGGCATATCCTGTAACTTGGATTCTGCACTCTGGAGACTGAATTTATTTGGATTAATTAATATTTAAAATGTTCTATGTTCCTGATTCCAGCTTCAGTTCCTAAAAATCATGTCAGAAAAACCACTGGAAAAAATACCCACTGAATTCCAGTATAGACAGGGATCCACAGAAAGGGATAGGGAACTTGGAGACTCCCAATTTGTGCACAGCTGATACAAAACCAGAGTTTGGAGTTCATGGCTGCAGACAGGTTGAGAAGGGGACATGACCTGTCCACTCTAAGAGACTGAGGACACCTGGAGAAGGATACATTTTGGAGGAGTTGACAGACTGCACTGGTTGTCTGCCTTTCTCTTTTTGGAATGACCATTCCAAAAAGCCTTTACAAACATCCAAGCATGGTGGTGAGGTCCTCAGCATGGAAGAATAAATTAAGAGTGCTCTTGCTGCAAAACTGCTGTTCTTCTCTGCTCCTAGATTGTTCCTACTCCCAAGCACACAGCTTGCCAGCTGATTTGTGGCTGATTGCCACATGCTCCCAATTTCCTTTACACTTGCCTGGCACTTCCTTGGCCTCCCAAGCAGAAATAGGGCAGAGCACAGAACAACCACCCCTCATGAACCACCTGGCTTCAGGCACAGAGACACAACTGCCCCCCCAGTCTGAGCAACACCAGGATGTGGCATCTCCTGGGGCTCTGCAGGCTCTGAGAGCTCAGAAAGGCAGAGGCAGAGACCCCACGGGTGTTCCTTGGCATTCCCACACCTCTTTCCCAGCTGGGTGTCCCTGATAGCCTTTGTAAATCACTAATGAAAACCACTTCCGAATAAATACCTTCTGTGCTACTGTCTCCAGTACTAAGGATTAACATTGCACGAGCCTATGCCTTTACTGTTCTTCAGCAGTGACAGAAATTCATTTCTTGGCCAGATTTTATGAACAATATTCTATATTTATTGTGTATTATGACCTTTTTGGATGATACAAAGTCGAGTCTAGGCATCTGTCTTTGGTTCTAACATTATTTTTCTTCTCTGATGAACAGTATGTTGCAGTCTATAGATACCTGTAATTTACAACATTTTTCTGAGTTTAAAGTAAGATCATGATTAACATTTTATATGAAGCAAGGTGGTGAACAGGAGAGTTCACTGACTTTCAGACCCTGGAATCACCCAAACAGTTTTCCATTCCAAGTAAAATATTTGGTAGGTTTCACACCAATCTTTTACCCGTGAATATCACAATGTTGCTGTTGGGAAAAACTGAATTTATTAAGGCAGTATATTTTAAAAATTGGCTCCAGCACCACACAGCTGGAAACAAGGAAAAAGTAATCTAAGGCAGCATGTAAAAAACTGTTCTCTAGTTAGACTGTGTATTTTTAATAACTGCCTCCAACAGACCACCCTATGACACTGATTGCCAGCACGGAAAACCTGATTGTTCAAAAGTCATGTAAGTAAGACGTAGATGTTGAAATGCCAGCCTCCCACTATTCACCTCCAACCTATTCTTTTCATCTTTTTCTGCTTATTTCAGTTTTTTATTTCCTAGTATCTTTTCTCTCAATGTACTGATGTTTTCCTTCAGTACCACCCTCTCTGCCTCCCAAAACCAACTGTAGCTTTCAGCTTTAATGGCAGAACAGGAACTGTTCAGAGATCTTTGAATTTTTCACCTCACATGCCACTTGCACAAGGGCAGGCTACTCACTGCTTAGAGAAGAACTATGAAAATAGGAAAAAATAATTTATTAGGCTGGATCACCAAAAAATCCAAGAATCTCTTACTTCTGTTGTCTTGCACCAAAATACATTAAGTACTTCCTGGTTTTTAACATACTTTCTCTAAAGGATGTTTACTAAAAGATAGTGTCAATGTGTTGTCATTTCTTTGGCTACTTGGGTCCAAGTTTTTGTAAATGTCTCTTGTTGTAGGCTGAAATATATTACAACTTAATAACTATTTTCCTTACTAAAAATGAAGCAAGTTGCTAAGAGTTCCACAAACCCATAATTAACTTCCCCTTTGAGAACAAAGAGGATGCATTTTTTAAATGTTTTTATTGCCTTAGTGATACATGATAAAAAAAAATACCCTCTGCAGCAAAACACACAAAGAACAGGAATGAGTGCAAACCAAACAAATCAGAAAGTAAATTATCTCTGAAACAATTTATTTCAATGCAACAGGGAACAGTAAAGTTTTGAAACAGCTTTTACTCCTCTGGAGAATGCAGCACTTACTTGAGCTCCTGAAATAAGTCAGAATATTGCATTAAACCAAGATTTCAATTCCTTCCTCCCAGAGAGACCTAAACAGTGTCCTCACAACACGTTCATTTTGTTGGAATAGAAGAAAAACTTAAGTCTTGGGAAAGACTGCAGCCTGCTCTGTCCTGCCAAGGCAATGGCTGTGCAATGTGCTCTCCTCAAGGGAAAGACAAGGACAACTTGGAACATAAAAACATGGATTCTACACCATCACCTCTCAGATCTCTATTCCAAACAGTTTGTACTTCCAAAGACAAGCCTTCTCCAGCTAACATGAGCACCTTGCCCAGGTGCTTCAGCAGAACTCCAGTGTCTTATGTTCTGTCAGGCTTTCTTCTCCAAGCAGCCCTGCACAGAGCAATTCTGAACACATGACCCATACCTTTGTATTCTGGGCCACAGCAACATGAACACAGCACAACCTTTCTGTGCCTCTGATACCAAAGTGCAGCTACAAAGCTGCACTCAGATTCCTGGATGTGCAGCCATCTCCTTGGCACTACAGTTCACTTGATCTCAGATCCTCTTCACAGACTGAAGTATTTGTAGCCTAGAAAATTCTCCTAGGGAGGGTCTGTTCACAGGCTAATATAGCTTACAAAGGGAAAATAATGTTTTTTCTTCCTTGTTCAGTATATTTTTTAATATTATGAGATAATTGACATTTCTTCCCTCTCTCTGTCCTCATTTATTATGGTGATAATGCTTCTGAAGTACTTGATAAATTCCATCCGAACATCTTCAGGATCTTCCTCTAAGTTGGAATGTATTAATTTTAGCTTGTTCAGTGGATAAGCTTTGAAAATAAATAAGAATAATTAGGTATATTCCTCTTAGAAATAGTCACAATCATGAAACAGCTCAGCTAGAATTTAGTGGTACACAATGTTTGACACCCCAGATAACACAGAACAGGGCAAGGAGAAATGCAGCAGAGTTTGTCAGTGCTGCAAACAAATACAGCTTATTGCCAGATTAAATTCTTCAAAATTTATTATTATTCAAGTGTAAAGTCTGGTTTTGGTCTCATATTCAGTTTAGCAGAATTAAACAAATTGAGCACTGAACTGCAGTTTTATTATTTAAGTGATATGATACTCTTTGATTACTTCAAAATTATGGAATGATATTGTTGTATTAAATATATATTAATATATTAATGCTTATAGCAAACATGTCCTTGTTTAAATAGGTTGCCCAGAAGGGAGTGTGTGTTTTCACAGCCATAAATAGCCACAAATAATTCTGCAGTATCTAAGGTACCTATTGCTAATTTTAAGATGCAGCTCATTAGCCTTTTATTTCAAAGAGCTCCTGTTACTACAACTCATAAGGAAATAAGGCAGGAGTTGTAATTTCTGGTTCAGCTGCATCATATACACTTGGAGAAGCCACTGACTTTCCCTTCCCCATTCCCAGAAACAGGAATATTGCTCACCTTTGAAATCCATTATTTCTGTTTTTTCAAAGCACTTTAGTGTTCTTTAATCAACAGATTTGGATGAAAAATGCAAGCCATGAAGTATTAACAAATTTAAAGACACAAAGATCAATGAAAAACTCTGAGCTACAAATGGAGCTCTCCATCTCCTTACCCAAGGACAGGTTTTCTGTGTCCCCTGCACTGCCTGGCTTGTGATGGGCCACCAGGAGACACTGACTGTCAAGCAGTGGCTGCTGCTGCACGAAGCATGAGTACCACATCTCGATTTCTTTCAGGTGGCTGGGCAGCTCAGGGTTGAAGATTATTATTACACCATGAGAGTCCTTCATCAGAGCTGGCCAGCATGTTTCAAACCTTGAAAAACACAGAGAATGGAAAGACTTAGCGCTGTAGAGCAGAAACATGCACTCAAATTTCCTCAAGGTTTTTCCCCTTCTCAAGAACACATTAAGTACTTTTTTAACTACAACATCAGTAACCATGCCAGTTATATATCATATTCCAAATATTTTGACTTATCTATTGTGATAGTTGATCTCATGATTTTCTAATTTTATGATTTTCTGGCAATGTAGAATTTGGTCAAATGCTCATTAACTTAATTAAACTTTGGTCAAATGCTCATTTTAACTTAATTAAACATTTCCCTAAGAATGGATCATTCACAATTACATCTTTTAGAAATTAAGGCCTCAATCATATGCATACATTGTTTGAAGTCCATTCACATAATTTAACGGAGATTAAGGCAATTACAGAGTGGGCCTCTGCCTCCTGTATCTGTAACTTCATTCCAGGAGTTGTGGACTTTACCGTTTGAGTCAGTCCTTATCCAAAACAGAGTTCAGGGGTTATCACGGCAGAGTGTACCTAGTGTTGGATGCTTTACAACAGAAACTATAAAAATATACTGGGGTAAAGAGTCAGGAATAGTCCTCATATCAAACAGATCACTGGCTTGAGCCTTAAGAATATGTTGTAAACAGATCTATCAGGATTTCAGTAACCTGGAGGAAGTAACAATGCCGGCTTACTTTTGATCACCGCTGCAATCCCACAGCTCGAATCGACAGCCAGCTCCCTTGCCGTTCGCACCCAGGTTTGGTTTCTCGTACTCCAGGATCCTGCGGAGATGAGGGACACGCGTGGGCTGCGATGGCCCGAGCGGCACCGCGGAGCGCGGGCTCTGCCTCACCTGACGCCCTGCGTGGGGCTGTAGCTGCAGATCCCTTCCGTGCTCTCGGACACGAAGTTGGCCAGCACCGACTTGCCCGACTGGCACAACACGGGGGGGAAAGACACACACACAGGGATTTAATGTGCCAAAGCCACAACTCACCCAAGCGCCCCGCGCTATCCCTCCCTCCGCCCCGCGGGGCTCCGGGCCGCGCTCACCTCACGGGGCCCCACCAGCAGCACCTTGGCCCTCAGCATGGCGGCCGGGCACGGCGCCCCCCCGCGGCCGCTGCCCGGCAACAGCGCCGGCGCGCGCCCATTGGCTGTGCCGCGCTCACGTGACGGGAGGGGCGGGGCGCGGCGTGAGGGGAGCGGCGTGAGGGCTGTGGGCAGTGCGCGCTCTGTCCGTGTCCGTGCTTTGTGGCCGCTATTTCCTCGCTCTTTTTACTCCTCCGTCCCCCTCATGTCGCCTCGCCGGCTTCTCAGTGTCCCCGCTCCGTCCTCTGTGTCCTCACTCCGTCCCCGCAGCGTCCCCTTCGTGTCCCCAGACTGTGCCC